GTAAAGACCAGGATCCCCAACTTGGGAGCTTGGTCTGCTTTCTTTTTCAATTTTTTTCCCCCTCACAAGAAACCCAAAGAATTCCTCAGCCATAAATCTTCCTTCTGTATCTAAACTGACTCACCTTAATTTTATTTCTCATTCTATTCCCTGTCCTAGTCAACTCTGATAACTATATTGGTTGGTGACATAGGATTCAGTATAGTTTTGAACCTCATGTGTTGGTCTTCTCTTGAGGCCTATATCAGCAGTATCATTGGGCAACTTATTAAGCACAGAAGGTATTATATTTTGCATTATATCCTCTGTATATTGATAATAGAGTGAAGCAAAACTCTGTGCCAACTTCAGTTGTCAAGCAGAAGGCGAAAGGTCTTTTGAAACCCTCCACAGATTTTGGTTGCTTTGCAAGAAAATATTTGTGTTTGCATATTGTTTCATTAATTTGGAAGAGTTCCAGTTATTTGGACAGATTTTATGGATGGAAATGTGATGCTGGCTGTAAACTTTCAGTTCCATTGTTATATCTTCTCACAGAGTTGTCATGCTAGGGGGGCATGGTAGCTTGAACAGCTTTGTAGGGAAGGAGTAGGTGGGTGTGGAAGAGCAGGAGGATGCTGTGGGTTGTCAAGTCCTGATGGGGAAGTTTTCCATTGTCCCCAACGTAAGCTGTCCCTGGAAAGATTTTATTGATAGTTTAAGGCTATTTAAGCCAAACTTGCTAAAGTGGATAAGAATATATCTTTTGATTTCACTGGGGTTGGAGTTATGCTGAATTAAGGCATTTTTTGTGACAGTTACAGTAGCTAATCATACAGCATTGGTCTATTTGCCTTCAGCCTGTAACTGTAATGACTGTTAATCCTGGCATTCAAAAGTCCATATTTACCATCTGTTACCACCCAGTTATCAGACCAAAGGGTAATAATACCTCTAATAAAGGTTAATTAATAAGGTATATACCAGTGCAATGTCAGTGAGACTTAATTAGTGCCATTCCTCGTGTTTAAAATCCATCAAAGAAAAAGTTAATTATCTGCAAACCATTGACACCAATGCATTTATTCAATGTACCCAGTGTCCCGGGTGTTACATACGTAAGATTTTTACTGAATTTTAATATATGTTATGTTATATATGTCAAACACTCTATGATATTCGCTAAAATAGATAATGAAGTGATATTTTGAAATTATGTGGCTAAGGTGGGACTGATGGCTAAATCTTCAATTTTACACTGTAAATAAGTTCAAATGAAAATTGCCATCTAAAATGAATATACAGCAGATGAAATTACTCTTGAAAAAATTATGAGAAATATTAAATGAAACAGCCAGCAATTATACTGGCATTTCCAATACTCAGCTCAATAAAAGATTTTGACCCATGCACTTTCTAGTTTGTGCCATTTCTGAAGTTAGTGGAAGGTGTTTTAAGTAAGCATAATCTGATTCCTTTGCCGAAGTTATATATTCCAGGCAGTAGTTCTTGACATTACATATTTAACTGACATACTATCCTTCTTCCATCCTTCCTGAAAACATTGATTTACTAAGATAAAACCAAGTAATTATTTCTGCTCTGAATTTCTTCTGACTTCTCAACCATCATTTAAATTTACATTTGTAATTAAGTGGGAAATATTACTTAAATGATTATTTTTCAGTTGGTTTAAGTCTGTTACTTAGAGTTGGCTCAAAGTAGCCTCTGCTTGACGAGATGGAATAGATAATCTGATCTGAATATGCTTCATATCTCATTTTACAGCTACAGTTTTAATGTTTAAGGGATGTCAGGTATTACAAGAGACTCTCCTCTTTTCAGTAACAAAGATGATTTGAGAAAGCCCTGAAATTTGATTCTTCCCTTGGTTTTACTCTTTCTCTACTCCCATCTTTCAGGCAGGTCTCAGTCCTGGCCTGTTTACTTTCCCCATGCCCTGTCTCCTTAAAGCTTGGATGGGAGTGAAGTTAGAGAGCTGTACTTAAAAAGAGGAAAGGGTCTCTAAATCCTGGAAGATTATTTGGAGGTGAAGTACTGGGAGATTCTGGAATATGTGGATGTGGCCTGAGGGGACAGGAAAGAAAGAGAAAGAGAAAACCCTGTCTTTTATACCTGTGTTCTGTTGAAGCTTCTTAATCTCTCTTTTCAGCCAGATGTATCCTGTGACTGCTACAGCATATAATTTTAGCTATGCAGCTGGGAAGTCTAGGAGCACAGTGTGACAACAGCTGTTTTCATCCTCAAAGATACAAATCTTTCCTCTAGAATACAGAATATAATATTCTAAAAATATGTTAAAGCAGATGTGCTTAGCTATAAACATAAACATAAATAAAAAGTAACCTCAGTTGTAATTAATTAGATTCATTCAAAAGAATGAATTAGATGAGTAAATGTCATCCATTCAAATCATAGTTTATGCAGCCTTTTCATGTCTTTCATGATACAAACCTTTCCAAGCACCCACGTGATGAGCTTCAGCAAACTGTTCAGTTGCCCTCATCTTCCCGTTCCACAATCCTCTCTCCGACAGAGCCTGAGTGATGTTATTGGCATCTCTGCACAGCAGCCACAGCCCCACTGCCAGATCAGCATCAGAGTTCCCAGAAGCCAGAATTGCATTTGCACTCCCTTTGGGAGCTTCTGCCTTTCAGCTCCCAGCCAAATCCCAGCCAGCTAGAAGGGCTCTCTTAATTAGTGTTTGGTCACAAATATTGTCCTTCTTTAATGGCCTGGTTCTGAATCAGTGGCTAAGGACAATGGAGACTAATCCTTCTTGCTCACTGGCACATATATCACCACACA